ATCTCGTTTTTGAACTATATCTTTTCATAAGCAAAAGTAAAAATATTGCAATGAAATTTTTAGCAATTTAATTTGCTGCTACACGGATTTAAAAATTAATAGAATTATTTGATAAAATTAAACAATAACTCACAATTTTATGTTTTCTTGTTGTTTCAAGTTTGCCATAAAAATTTGTATATGTTGTATGACAATGCAAATGTGATTTTTTTCTGTTTGTCAATGTTTTTTTACAAGGGATATGCACATATTTAGAAATAATTTAATTGTATTAAATAATGACGCGTATTAATGTTCTTGAAATTTTTTATCATATTTTCACAAAAAAAATCAATAGAAATTTCATAACCCTTTTGCCATTAATGGGATATCATGATGATTACTTTTTCAGTCGTTTTTGCATTGTTGAAATTTTAGAACTTAATTTTCCATACATATCTTTCAGAAAATTTTAGTCAGATTTAAAAAAATTCTTACAATTTGAATGATATATTAAATATATAAATTATGATGCATAATGTTTCATCAAACTAATAAAAAATTGTTTGTACAAGTATAAAGATTTTTTTTTCTTGATTAAATTCAGTATTTCCTAATTTAAGTCGTTTTGATTAGGTAAATATCAATTATTATCAGGTAAATAACAATTCTATTTATTGTGGCATAATTTACTGTACAACTAATTTTTAGTTTCAATTATACTTAAAATTATCATTAAAACATTATTATTAATGTTTTATAATATAATTTAATTATTAATGTTTTATAATAATGTTTCATAATATTATTAATGTTTTATAATATTATATTTAAAAAATCTAATTTCTAAATTGAGAATTATTATAATTCTAAATTAGAATTACCAAATTCTAATTTGAGCTAGTCTGACAATTGTTAATAGAAATTTTAATTTATTTTTAAAATTTTCTTTGATTTCAGAAAACTACTAGTTTAAAAATCTTGCAAAATGATTTAAATGATTCTGCAAATTTGCAAAATCGCAGGTTTCTAATTATCTTAGAATACAAACATATTGCCTTATACCTTACACAAGCAATAATTAACCAAACATCATATATAACATCAATAATTATACCAACAATATTTTTTCCATAAATACTTGTTATATTATTTCGCAAAATATTTCTTTAATTACAACATTCTCATGTATGATTCATTTACATATTTAATAATAACTTATTTGTTAGCTATGTATGAACACAGATGTTTTTCCCATTTAATTTTCAAAACAAAATAATCTAGTTATATGCACATTTTGCTATTTATCTTCGAAGCGCCTGGACCTGTCTTTTCCAAAAACTAATCAGCACATTTTTCCATCGGTACAAATCGAACGTGTTTTAAATCATTCAAATCGGTTGATCCTTGCGCCCGAAATCGTGGACGAAAAATTGTATCGACATACATGTATCAACTTTTTTGCATCAGCACCTACTTTCTCAACGTTAAATATATAATGTAAAGCTTGAAAAAATATCTTTTACTCTTACAGTAACATACGGGACAAAATAAGTGTCACCTTGTATGATTCATTTGCATATTAAATAACTCACATGTTTGCATTGTACCAGCACAAATGTTTTATTTAATTCTCTTAAATAAACAATCTAATTTATTTAATCAACAAAATTTTAAAAATAAATTCCTAATTGAATTTCTGATAAGGTGTACCATGACCTTGCCAGTGTTTGCGTTATTGCCTTTGCAATATTCATGATAACGACGACGACGACGACGACATGGCGTTGATGTTTCGTAAATGTTTAATAATAGTCACTAATTAATAGTAAATTTCATTATAATAATAAATTTATGCATTTAATTAGACGCGTTTTGTTAGTTAGTTAGGTGAAGATACAAGAGTTTATTATTAGATTGCACTAGAAACAAGATGTAATGCACTGATTTTATTTACATTTCTTTTAGAAATCTTTGCTTAGTTGCTAAATTTTATGTGTTTTCTGCTAATATTGACAAAATATATAAGGTGGGGATAAAAGAAATCCATTATTAACTGTTAACATAAGTAACTGAAATTGAATACATTAAACAATAAATTGTAAAAGACATTTTTTTTACTACAAAATCTTATCTTTCCAACGAGCTTAATGTACCGACTCTACCGCATAACAGAAAAATATTATGGCAAGGCTATGCTTGAAGAAGAACTAAATATTGACAAAAGCCATGTGGTTGCCGTGCAGTCAGGCGTTTTTCTCAGGTTGTCAGATAGAAAACCTAACCTGGGAACCGCAAAAATGTCAAAAAAACGATCTTAGATAACAGGGCTTTTCTGACCCAGCTTCATAACTTACGAGTGACGTTGCAGTTTATGACAAAATTATATATTAGTGGAAGTACATGACGACTAATATTATAATTATAATTACTCCACTTTTTGAATAATTTATAATAATGCAGTTGTATCTAAAAATCAGTATCATTTTCGAAATATTATTGAAGGTTTATGGCTTTTGTAAAAAATAGACAAAATTTTTTGTTTTTAAAATTGTGATTTTTCTAAAGTGACTAAGTACCATATGTTTACCTCCACTTCTTGAAAAATTCTTAAAAATGCGGTAGTGACTTTTAAAATCAGTCTCATTTTCGAAATATTATGTGAAAATTCGACAAATTATTTTCTTCAAATTTTTTTTTCTAAAACTACCAGGTACCATATATTTAACTTCAATTTCTAAAAATCTTTAATAATGCAGTTGTATCTTCTAAAATCAGTCTCATCTTCGAGATATTATGAGATGTTGGTGGCTTTTGTAAAAGTTAGACAAAATATTTTTTTCTAAATTTTGAAAAATCCTCAAAAATTCGATCGTGTCTATTAAAATCAGTCTCATTTTTGAAATAATATGGAAGATAGTTGGCTTTTGTGAAAATTAGACAACATATTTTTTCCTATTTTTTTAAATTATAAATTATATGTGTTCTAAAGCAGCCAAACTGCTAACAAACATCAAGCTTTTGGAACCAATTCTCGAATAAATAGAAATGTTATGTTACGGGTCTATATTCGTATAAGTTGGTAGTAACAAATTGACAAAAGCTATGTATCTGTTGTACCGTCAGAGGTTTTACACATAAAACCTAACTTCACGTATGTGTTATCAAAGACACATCAAAAAGATGCACTTATGATACTATTGTTCTTTGACAGATTCTTACTACCAACTGATACGAAAATAGATCCGTATCATAGCAATACTATAACATATCTATTTTATCGGAAATTTGACTTTTTTATTTTAAAGTTAATTTAAAACAAATTCTCTTAATCTTAATTTATCAATGTTTCTTCAATCCAATACTGTAATAAAACAATTATTCTCTTCACTATTAATCTGTAATTACTTTGCAAGCATTTGTAGCCAAGAACGATCATTAAATATTATATATAACACTAGAAGATCGCCCAACAATAATTCAATACAAAGGTGTGGTACAACCGGATGGTATGGTACTCTACAATTACGTTATTAATAATAATAAGAGCCCTACAAGGGCTGGAAAACATTTTTCTAACCATCATCTCAAAAATCGAAAATAATTCGGATTTTAATTTTAATTCTGACTAAAGTTCTAAAGCTCACTTATATACATTAAGGGGCACAACTAGTGTAAAATTTTCAAAAAATAGAATTTTCAATTTTTCCATATTTCGATAGGTTATACCTTTAAAAATAACATACTAAAATTTTAAATCGATATCTTAAATAGTTTTTGAGTTACTGCCATTTTAAGAATATATATATAGTATATAGCATAACGATTATTTTATCTTCAAACGCGTTTTTCTCGAAACAGCATTTTTCGAATTGGCTGCAGCGATTACTCAAAAACAAATGATATGATCACTATCAATTTTTTTTACATGTTTTCTATATAGTTCTCCGTAAAATGAACTATCGATTTTTTGATCGGATCAAAAATCGAATTTTGGCAGTCCAAAAACGACCAAAATTTTGGGTAAAATTCGACTTTTTTTAAAAAAAACGCTGTCATGTTGTCAATTTTTGATTTTTTTTCTTTATCGTAGTTCATTTTACAGACAATATTATCTAGTTTAACGAAAATTTTTTTTTAAATTTTATCCACGTAGAAGGCCGGAATCATTGCAGTAGTGAAGGGCCTTTTTTTTTGTCGCGCCGTTGGAGATCGACGATAACTTAAAACATATTTAATTTTTTCTTGAAAAAAATTCACTATGTATTCTTAAAACATGTATAAATATATTCCTAAAATTTTGAAATGATTGATATAGTAGTTTTTTTAATATAAATTTCCAAAAATCACCTTTTTTTAGGCGGTTACACTAGTTGTGCCCCTTAAATAAATAATTTTAACTTTGCAATTCAGTTTATATAATTCTTATGAATATTAGACAATGTTACAGTATTTATGATTTGAAAACATTTAATATTTTGTTACGGTACGGGAAGTTCCAGCAATTTGCCTCAAGGCACAATGCTATACACCACTAGTTTTATATAACTTTAGACGCCCTTACATGCGGTTGTGGTGATAATGACCCTCATTATAAAAATGTTTGCCATCCCTGATTTTATATCAAATCGTTTACGAATAGTATTACCTCCGCCTCAAAATGTTATCTAATCTTTTACCGCGTTATCTAAGTCCGTTCAGTGCAATCATACGATTCTAATAAAATCATTATTATTACAGGAGAAACTCGTAGAAGCCTCATCGGGCCAAGATCCTATAAATACAACTGTGCAACTTGCCAATAGTCCCCGATGTCTTCTTGCGCGACCGAAATTATAGAACCGCTGCGGGCCGAGCGAGTTCTTCTACCACAAAGTGACGAAAGTGAAGAAGAATCTAAGGAAAAAGATTCACCAGAAATATCTGAAAGCAAACCAGATCCTGCACCAAGAAGTTTGACAGAAAATCCTGCACCAAGGAGTTTGACAGAAAATCTTGCACCAGATTTACCTAGTACACCGAGTCCAAGTATTCTTATCAACGGTGCTAATGGTAAATCAACAAATGGCAGGTCACCAAAACGTGTCAGTTTTGAGAAACGAGTTGAGCTCAAGTCTGATAAAAGTGTGTTGAAGTTTGTTTGTGGTGATGAGATAATTGATCAAGAAAATCCTTTTCGACAACCTGATATATCTGATGACGAAACTGTACCCAAGTACAACATAGTTGGTATTCCGACCGTAAAACCAAAACCTCGTTTACCGATTGCAAGATCTAGAAACTCTTTGACCAGATTGTCTACTGAAGAAGTTGAGAGGTTTAAAAGTAAATATTCAAATTTTGATAGCATCAACCCGGACAGTCACTCGTGTGATTTGGATTTGAAAATCAAAATCGAAGGTAAGACTGTAGGTAAACCTGTAGTTGTGGAAGAAAATAACAACGTGAAACCAGTTCCTGATTCTGAACCTGCTGTAGAATATGCTACCCAAGAAATAGTGCAAAAACAATCCATCTACGACAATTTAGTGAGTGTTGAAGAAGTGCAGAAAAACGGTGACTTAGTGCACAACAGTGAAGACAACAGTGATTCCAATATGTCTGATAAAGTGAAAAAACGCGGCTCCGGCATCCGAAAAATCTTCCCAGTTTCCTTATTCTCTAAAACAAGATCGCCAAGTGAAAATGGTAAACCTGAAACAACTTGGGCTGATCGGAGTGCAACCTCAAAAACCAAACCTATACGCAGGATTGTTTTGGAACCTTCTAAAGACGTCAGTGATATCAAAGTTGTGCGCCGATTTGGCAATATTGATGTCCCTCGACAACCTTCTATGAACTTGGAGGACCAGGTTGAAAGGATGCAAAGGGAACTTGAAATCGTGAGCAATGATAAAACAAGCAACTTGTACTCTGGTCCACTTTATAACAAAGATTCAAAACCTAAGTCTAAAATACCTAATAGCTCCAGCTCGTCGTCAAGTACGCTGATATCAGATTCCTCCGACACCAAACCTCAACTCAAACAAATTTCGCGATTAAAAAAACCCACAGTGGACTTTGTTAATAGAAGCACAGGTATCAGCACTTCTGGTAGAAACTCTGCACCAATTTTTTCAACACCTGGACGCACTATGCAAATATCCAGACTGCCCAAATTAAATTCATCAGCACCTGATAAACGTACAGAATCACCTTTGAACTTCCTGGACACGAAATCCAAAATACCTTCGACGAAAATTGCTGCAAAACCTAGACCAGTGGCTATTCCTAATGCAGACAAAATTATAAACGAGTCAGGTATTAAATCTAAACCAGTGCCTGCAACTCGGAATTTTGAAAAACGTGCAACATCCTTCAACGTGAACCACAAAATGGGTTATCAACCCAACCGTAATGTTACAGATGACTCCAAAGCATTTGAAGGAGTTAGTGCTGAAATGAAGATCACAAAAGCTCCTGTTGTGTATAATACGTCAAAATTACGGACTAGAAGTTTGTCTCCAAGACAAAGGCATAAGTTGGATGGTTCTAAAGTACCCACAGAACCTAGTGATGGTATGCAATTACTGCCTGATAAGGAATTCGGTGACGACATTGATAAGGATGTTGGTGATTATGCCAAGTTGAAAAACCTAGGACCGACTAGTGACGGTATTAAAAGTCCACAAGCTTGTAGTACACCTGAAAAAAGCATTTGCAAACAAGATGGTGAAAAGCATAGAAAAATAGGGTCACCAATACCGGCACCAACACTTCCCCCGCGTGATATGCAAAAGGTGCAAACGCGCCAAAACGTCGAAGCATTCTGTTGGAAAAAACTGCAAGAAATGAACAAACGCAACGAGGAACAAATCTACGCAAATTGTTTCGATCGTTTCAACAGCCTGAGAAGCCTTACACCGCCTGTGGTTCCACCACATGCCATAGATCCCATATACGTATCCCGTTCCGAAATCGGCACCAAAGCCCAACCTCAAATTGACCAGAAACGACGACAAATAATTCCTGCACCGATTTTCAAACGTGGCAGTTTAGTATCCGAGTCTGATTTGGTGAATCCTCTTACCCCAAAACGTGTGAGTTTTACCGGTGGAAACGTTTCTCCGAGGATTCCTTTGGGGTTGCCAGTGCGCAGAATAGTGACGGTGAACGATAAAGTGTGTGACGTGTATGGACGCATTCACGAAGTGCCTAAAGGTTCCGATGATTATATAAGAAACCCTCAATTAAGGAGACCTTTGCCTCCTGTTCCTGCAAGGGCACCTTGTGATAGTGAAAGCGGCTCCGAGGCTGGCGAAGTGCAAAGGATTATGCAGTACGGAAATCAACGTCATCCTAATGGTAAGTCATTAATACAATGTAATTTTTTGTACCAGAGACCAAATTATAATTAACTTTGGATAGTAATGGACCGATTGGATAGTAAATCGAAAATGAAAATTTTTGCATTTCTTGACGTTTTGAAGGTTTCTGAACATTTTGGAACACCTCAGAAAAAATAGATGTGTGTGTGTTTTGTATGTCCACATTTTCGGGCGCAAGGATCAACCGATTTGAATGGTTCGAAAAACATTCGATTCCTATTGATAGGGAGATGTGCTGATTAGTTTTTAGCAAAGGCAGGTCCAGCCGTTACGCAGATACGGAGCAAAGAGTGCAGAAAATACAATCGAGTTTTTGAGAGAACGGAGTATCGGATTTGAATGATCTAAAAAAACATTCAATTTGTAATGATTGGGAGAAGAGGTGATTAGTTTTTGGCAAGGATAGGTTCCTCAGTTTTGGAGATAAAGAGCAAAATGTGCAAAAAATTGCAGTTGTTGAGTGAACTAAGCGTCCGATTTGAATGATCTAAAAAACCGTCTGCTTGTATTGACAAAACAAATTCAAACTAGCTGTAAGTGGAATTCTGTCTTAAGGCAATTAAGGCATCGTGCCTTAAGGCAATTTGCTGGAACTTCCCGTACGAAAAATTATTATTTTTTTAAAAACGATTTACATTTTGGAAATAAATTTACTTCGAAAAAATTAGATTTTTGAGAAACTATAAAGTGGACAAAAAATTACTTTTTTTAAACATTTTTTTTTGATAAAAAGTGCTTTCTTCATTTTGACATATTTTGGAAAATCTGAACTTTTTTTCAAAGCAATCGTACTGCTTTTACTGCATAGAGACAAAATATAAAGCGCGTAAGCGCTGCGTCGCTGTCTAACCGCATAAGCATTGGTACGGAACCCATAGGAATATAAACAAAATTTATACTTAGTGTTAAAATCTCAATAAAATATCTGATAATTTGATGTGCATATGTCTAATGATCATTTTTAACTACAATAATTTGGCACTTTTTGCCCTGTATTTTCTGAACGGCTGGACCTGCCTTCGCCAAAAACTAATCAGCACATCTCCTTATCAATGCGAAATTTGTTTCCGAACATACATACATACACGCACACACACACATACATCCATTTTTTCTAAGGTATGCCAAAATGTTCAGAAACCTTCGAAACGTAAAGATCTATAAAAATTTTCATTTTCGATTTTTTTGCGATTACTATAACTTGCCCTACGAGAAGTTAAAAATTATTACATCTTTTTTTCATTTTTCATAAAATATTTTTGTAATTTTTTTTGGATTAAAAATTGAAAAAATAACCCAGGCTAAGCACAGTCTAAGCGCCACTCTGGTACAAATGCTTACCGAAGTGCGTTTTGGACTGTTTATGTACTGGAGCACTTTTTCAATTTTATGAAAACTATTGAAAAATGTGAAAATGCCGTCGAGCTAAGCACAGTATAAGTGAAAATGTCGCACAGAATTATTTGCAAATGCGTTTAGACTGTGACTATACGGGAGCATTTTTTCAATTTTGTGTAAATTGGGCAACTATTTTTTTGAAATTGAATTCGAAATGAAATGACGATTGTTGATGTTCTGGAGATAAATTGATTTATGATTTACATTTGATTTGCTCAGATATAACAAGATAGCAAAAATGATGAAAGTTACAGTATTTGTAATAATATATTTGAAAACGTTTAAAATTTCACGAACATTTCGTTACGGTACGGGAAGTTCCTGCAATTTACCTTAAGGCACGATGCCATACATCGCTAGTTTATATTTCCAATTCCTCCTCGTGTTGAAATAGGATAATTATAATAATTAATTTTCACATATGCAAATGCCTCGTGCAGGCGTTCTGTTTTTGCCACATATCATTTTATACACGCCAAATAATTATTATTCGCGCGAGAAGGTTTACTAATTTATACAAATAAGCAGCAGCCGCCGAGTTGTATGAGGAAATCGTTATCATATTTGTTTAAGTATATATGCCGGTACAGATATAACTACGTAATCGATAATCGAAAGGTTAGGTTGGAATTTACTCAAATTATTAGGGAAAATTGAAGTTTAGTGATTTGTATTAATTTTTTAGTAATTTGTCCTGAGGTAAGTGAGAGCAACCATCATTGATTACATTTCCTTCTTTTGTTTGTACTATTATTATTACTAGTATTCTATTCACTTTTATTTTATACACTTATTAAAAATTAAATTAAATTAAAATTAAATTAAATTAAATTAATACGCAAACCAAGTGTTATTTATAAAATTATTGCACTAGAACTTCCTGCATCGTAGTTTAAAATATTTAAAACCCGTACATTATTTTTGATAATTTTTAGAAAATAATTTTTTTGAGAAAAAAAGGCCATTTTGTGAGAACTTCGAACTTCGAAAGAAAGAATTAAACTTTTTTGAAGACATTGCAAATTTTGAAAATTTTTTGGAAATTTTGGAATTTATGAAATTCGACTTTTTTGGAAATTTTGAAATTTCTTAAAAATGTTTAAACTAAAGTCACGTGATCCATACTGTCAAAAATGCGAATGACATTTGTCAACCGATTTGAATGGTTCAAAAATCATTCAAGTCCTGTTGATAGGAACATGTGCTGATTAGTTTTTGGCGAAGGCAGGTCCAGCCGTTTTGGAGATAGGGTGCAAAGAGTGCAGAAAAAAGAAATCGAGTTTTTGAGGGAACGGAGCTTGAATCCGATTTGAGTAATTCAAAAAACATTACTCATGATGAAATTATACAATTTTGTAAAGGCAGGTCAATTGGTTTCGGAGATCTAGATTTTTTTAATGCCTTTTGACGGTCCAAAATCAGATATTTTCTGCAATCTGGATCAACGGACATAAATAGGTATCAAAAATGTTCAAGAACAATTTTCACAAAATTTCTAAGTTTTCAAAATAGTCAATTTTATCAATATTTTCTACATATGAATTTATTGAATGTTTTCAAAATTTCCAATAATCTTCAACAAAATTCAAATATCTTTAAAAAAAATAATTTGCATTTTTTGAGTTTTCAAAAAATTTAAATTACGGTATGAAAATTTCCAGCAGTTTGCCTTGAGGCACGATACCATTCACCACTAGTTTTAATTTTATTTGAATTACTTGCAGAATGAATTTATCAAAGGGTTATTATATTTAATAATCAACACTTTCCAGGTTCTAATTTTTTTAATAATTACAAAATCATATCAATGTATTTATGGCTAAGTATTTTTTCATATTACTTTACCTAAGATTATCTTGTCTTGAATTGTGAACGTTTTTGGAAAAATATTTTCCATTTTTACAAAATTTCGATTAGGCTCTCTATTATTATCTCTACATTTATTAATGTGTGTTTGAGATAATTTACTTACCTTTACAAATACTGGTGATTGTGTCATAGAAGCCATTTCCATTTCATTTTGAAATATCTACGATAAGATTTACAATATCTTGCAATTTTGTAAAATATATCTAATATATTTTGATAAATGAAATTCTAACAATAAGCATAGATTAAAATACGCATGAAATATTGAGACTAACATATTTTGAAAGTCGATTTTTGAAATAAAAATTGCCATAAATTTCGAAATGAATTGAATAAAATCTTTTATTATAATTTTGAATTAAAGTGGCATTTATTTGCTATGTGTTGAAACTGCAACAGATTTCAAATTGCAATAAATTAATTTTGAAATTAATTAAATACAATCCATTGTAACTTTTTATTATATTTAAGGAAAAAATAGTATTTGTTTGCAATATTTTGGGGCAAAATCTGCGAGTTTGAATAAAATCCCATAGCACTAGTAAAATACATACTTAAATACTCAGTATTTAATATAGAATTGCCTAGTGATAGTTTGTAGTAAAGAAGAATTTTGTTAAGAACTTGTAGAAAAATTATTTCTAAAAATATAGGGTGGCCCATTTAAAAATTGGAATTTATCGATAGCAACTTGCCTGCAGGCCACACCGTGCGGAATTCTTTATTAATTTACTAGATGGACCACCCGTCATTTGTTATTTGTTATATATGTATATTTGTATATATAAATATACATATTTTTTTAATATTGTGCATAATCTGCATATAATTATGTATATCATATTGTTAATTCGTGTTTGCACCAGTTTGCCAAAATCAGCAAGTTAGGATTCTGATCACATATTCATTGCAGTACCACCGGCATAACTAATCAAATCAGGGAAACATCTGAATTTTAGGCAATCGACGCCCTGGGTACATAATATATACCTGTATATATATATATATATATATATATATATATATATATATAATGCGAATAGTGCCGTATGACGTCTTGGTGGAAACTTTACCAAATCTGTGAAGTCCAACTTCTGGGTTTCAACAACAAACTAACTACTATATTAGTAAATACGCCTAAAACAAAAATAGCTTGTAATATAAATTTAATTAATTCATTTCTTAGTAATTAGTGCTTAAAAACATTATAGAAATCAAGTGATATTTATAAAATTATTGCACTGGACTCTATATCACTTTCAATTGCAACATTTTGCAATTGCATTTTGAACAGAATATTTTTATGATGTTTTTTTTGATAAAACTAGTCAATACATTATAGAAATTAATATATATAGACTTTAGCAGTTTTTTTGGAAATCGGTAACAATAGATTATAGGAAATTTATTAGCCGATCACATTTTAATATAATCAATTTTCACTTAAAAACAATTATTCTCTATTTTGTATTTGTTTTTATGCTGACGCACTAATAAATATTTTTACTATTTATTCCAATTTATTTTTGACTTTACTTTGACTTATTATTGGCTGCTAACATTTCAAGAATTTCTCTCTACATATAAATATTTGTTTGAAAAGTTTAGATTTTGCAAAGACCATGCGACTATATGTGTGCCATTGAAAAATTGGTCAAAAATTTCAATATTTTTACAAAAAAAAAAAAAACAGAATAATTTTTCAAATTA